TTTCTATTCTGCAAATTATTCAGGCAGTTCTAGTGAAAATTGTAATTACCGTACACACTTGCAGTGCAAAGCGCTGCATAGAGATGATGAACATGAGACTCAGGGGAAGACATACCAGAACCTGTCTGCATTAGAACATGTTGTGGCCTATGCTGGGTTTGTATTTTTAGTATCTCTTTTGACACAGCTTTTGGGTATCTTACATTGAAAATATGGGGCATGTTGCTCTAAGTAGAATCACTGGAGTCTAGATTTTTTCATACTCAGCCATAATGCTACACATGCCCAGCTGCAGAGAGCTGTAGCCAGTAAGTGGGAGATGGAGTTCTGCCTCTTCTACTCTTGCTCAAGAGCAACCATTGGTTAGACTGCCTTGTATAAATACAACAGATGGTTTTTGGACTCTTCTGGATGGACTTGCTCCAGAGGCCAAATCAGTCTGTTGTTGGTTTAATCACACTGACATATCATGGGTGATATGGTTTGCCCTCTTGAGGAAAACGCTTGGCTTTGGCTTGGTATCTGGTCAGGACTGGCCATGACGTGGTTTACTGTGGCCCTGCCTGTGCAAAAGGGAACAGCACTGTAGCAGTGTAATGCTGGCTGAGATAGGCTGTGTGACTGCCTCTCTAGACAACAATATAGGGACCAGGGCCATGTGCAGGTTCTGAGCATGTAGTCTCCCCAGGGGGGCTTGTGCTCCAGTTCAGTATTGCTACCACCTGGTAACCTGTATGTTGTCTCACTTCCTGGTGATTGCCCTGATGCTGTTTCTTATGCCACTGCTTCCCAAACTTTTCCTCAGCATAGCTCCTCACTCCCAGCTCACAGCCCCCCATCCCCTCAGGTGCCCCAGGGCCAGGTCCCACAGACCTCTTTCTCCCCCCCGCTCAGGGTCCAAGCACCGGCTGCCACCCACAGGAGGCAGTAGCTGCTGTGGCTAGAGTGGAGTGCAGAGCCTGGCTTTCCCCCGCACCCCATCCCTTCCCCTGCGGCAGCACTGCCAGAGCAAAGCCTGTAAGGGGTGGGAGGATGTGGACAGCCCACTGCAGGCTTGGGGCTCCCCATCCTGCTTCACTCCCCCTGGGGGCTCCACAGCCTAGCGTGCAGGGCCTGGCATAGGAGGGAGGGAGCGCTGCATTGTGCCACCATGGCTGCCAAACTGAGGTGCCCCCTGCTCACCTGGCAACAGCGTGGGCACAACTCTGTGCGGCTGCCACTGCCATGCCTCACCTTGGTGGCCATGATGGTGCTGCATTCCCTCCCACAATGGGTCTCACCCGCTGGGCCACAGAGGCAGTTCCTGTGTGGAGCTGGTCCAGCGCAGCTGCAGTCCTGCACCCCGCTGTGGGCACAGAAATCTCAGGGCATGTTTATTGTGACCCCATCCACTGATGTTGTGACCCCATCTGGGGTTGCAGCAGTTTGGGAACCTCTGTCTTATGTGCTGTTTTGGGCTATGGCAATGACTCTAGTCTCTGATGTAGTGCCAGCAACCTTCTCTTCCCCTTTGAGACAGTTTGCTTGAATCTTTTGTGCCCAGCTAGTGGTCAGAGTAGCCAGACTTGTGACCAGCACATGACACAAGATGAAATTTTTTGCACAGAGCGTGCCATCACAGGCTGGCACAGAGGCCAAAGCTCATAGATTCAGAGTCATAGATGTTAGGCACTGGTAGTGACCACACGAGATCACCTGGTCTAGACCTCCTGTGCTTGGGCACGAAAGGCTGCTGGGGTCAGATGATCTCAGCAAGGTGAGCGTCAGATGCTTTTTGAAGATTTCGAGTAGGTGCTTGTACCACCTCTAGGGGAAGTCTGTTCCAGACCCTGGACACTCAGACCATAAAGAAGTTTTTCCATATGTCCAATCTAAAGGGATCATCTAGCAATTTGTAACCGTTATTCTTTGTCTTCCCCTGGGGTGCCTTGGTGAAAAAGTTCCTCCCCCAGGCCCTGATGTGAACCCCTTATATACTTATAGGCTGCCACCAAGTCCCTTCTACGTTTTCTCTTCTCCAGGCTGAACAGTCCCATGTCTCTCAACCTCTCCTCATATGGCCTGCTCTCCAGACCTCAAATCGTATGCGTAGCCCTCCTTTGGACTCTCTCAAGCTTCTCCACATCCTTCCTGAAGTGCAGTGCCCAGAACTAGATGCAGTACTCTAGCTGTGGCCTTACCAAAGCTGAGTAAAGTGGGAGTATGACATCCTTAGTCCTGCTTGAGATGTGTTGATAGATACATGCCAGTGTCTTATTTGCTTTGCTGGCTATGACATTGCATTGGTGGCTTATGTCCATTCTATGGGGTATCACGACCCCCAGGTCTCTTGGTTGTGGTGCTAGCAAGCGTAGCACCGCCAAGCCTGTAAATGTGTTGCGGATTATTTCTCCCCAGGTGGAGACTTTATTTTTCTCGGGGTTAAACATCATCAGATTAAGTGAGATTTTAAAATGCATGAGATCATCCAGAATTGTAGAAAAATCTCTTTCCAGAACTGAATCAGCAAGGCTGTGCAGGCATATCTTGTATGGGCAGGCTATCCCATAACTGTTAACTAGGGGTGACTTTACCTTCCTCCAAAGCAGCTGATGCAGGCCTCTCTCCAAGCCAAGACACTGCATGGGGCAGAGGCTTGTGGAATGGTCCAGTCTGGCTTTTCCTGTATTCCCATGTGTAACAGGAAGCCGGAAGGCTCCTATTAGTTTAAAATGAAAGAGTACCAGGTTGAGCTGAATCAAGGAGGACTAGCAGCTAGGAAACAAGATAGCTGCTAATGAAATGGCTGCCAGCAGGCAGACCAGGGTGCAAGGCATGGGGAGAAGCTAACTAGGGGAAGGTAATTGTTTTGCCTCAGTATCAAGTCGTTGGGCCTCAGTGACAACAGAGGTAGGAGAAAGAGATCAACCCGAAGCTGTGAATCCCACTCCCCCACACAACAACATGCCCCCACTACCAAAGAAAGTGTGCATCCAGAATCGGGCTACTCACTCACCTGAGGACCCATCAAGCCTGATGGATGTCATCCTTGATTTTGAGGGACTGCCACTGCTGGTGAAATGCTGAAATGCTCTGTTATCAAGCGGGGACCCCTCCCTAGGTACATTGTCCTGCTGGGGCCTGGCCATGCCCCCCTCAGCTCAGCGCTATGTAAGGGAGGGCTGCTCTAGCACCCCGTGGCTTCTAGCCTGAGCCACTGCAGGCATGTGCCTGCATTTCGGGGCTGTCTGTCTGGTTACAAAGCTGATTTACCCTAGCCAGGTTAGACTAACTTGCAAAGATTCAATCAATTCAGGCTCAGGTTTGTGAATGCCTGTCCCTGGCTTTAAAGCCTGTGCCTGGGAGCATGTGGCCAGTTTGATCCTGCTAGCCATTGAGTGAAGAGTTCCTGCCCTGGAAAGCTGCAGTGGGAGGCTCTGCTGCCTCCTGAAATGCCTGGCAGTGCTAGTAAGACACTGAATGCTTGCTGCAATGGACAGCCCAAGGCAGGGGGAAGCTTGGAAGACAGTTAGTTGGCTTGAAGTTTCTTTTGGGTCTGAGTGCTTATACCTTTTGTTTGAATTTGACAGGTGGCTTGGGTTTGGAACTAGTATGGGCAAGAAGAGTGCAAAGAAGCATGGAATTAGAGCTGGAGTGAGCCCAGAGAGGGGCAGGTGCATGGCTAGGGAGCCCAGAGAAGGCAAGATGGAGCTTGTCCCCAAGAAGCTAGTCCTGGTGTAGCAGGTCTAAGCTAAAGGGAGCAGAGGGGTGGAGGCCAGGAAGGTCAAGGCCCCAACAAGGGAGTGGAGGCCTGAGGTGACCTGGAGGTTTTGCCCACTTAAGTGATGAGTGGAAACATTTGTGAGGCATAGGCATGGCTGTAGGGGAGATTCAGAAGCTGTGATTAACCCTTAAGGTGATGAGCAGTGGGATCGGCGCTCATGATCTTGCTTTGTCTTGCTTGGGGAGCCCTGGGGCAGCCTCCTTTTCTGAAGTCATAATAACATCAAGGTGTGGCAGGAGAGCTGAAGGGGATATTACCCTAAGGAACCAGAGAGGACAAGGGTACTCTAGGGGCATTACGGCCACCCCAGAGGCAGGACCCTGTTACACCGTGGATAATCAGGAGTGCAGAGATGCCAGCTGAAGGTGGGGAGGCATCTTGGCACAGTGCTATGTGAACCTACTCCAGGGTATCTCTACTGTCTGCTCCCCATGGATTGCACACGTGTCTTGTGTTGTGCCCAGGGTTGTGAGGGTTCTTATTGAAGACAGTTCCACATGTTCTATTCAATCATGGTTTTTTTTCCAGGCTAAAGGAAATTGATTTAGTATTTGGCAGTGATGCCAAGTTCATGAAACCCATCTACCAATACCGTCTTAATTTAACTTACAAACTCTCTCTACTGATTTTCCTGTGAGCAAATCACTTCTGATCTGGAAGTAATGGGCCATATCATGCCTGCAAGCAGGAGTGATGACTTATATTGATGTCACCCACTGGCTTTTTATAGAAATTATTAATAAATCAGTAATTCTATCTGCAGTGATGTTGTTGTGTTTATAAATATTTAATTCACCTTCAGGTGCCTGCACCTCCTCCACCAGCTTCCTCTTAGATCGCTGACGTAGCACTGAGCTCGCAGATGCTGCACAGGAGATGAAGTTGTCAGAGTAACTTCTAGGGTAGAAAAGGTTAATAACAATGCTGCTGCTTTTTCCTTTTAAGCTTTATATAATTTGGCTTTGGGGCTTGGAAGTTCAAGCTGGCAAAGTACAGTTTCTGCTGCCTGGATTAAAGACCTGAGACATGGGTCTAACTCTGGAGAGACCTTCCCAGTGTCGACTTTTAAAACTGATGTAATATCAAATGGAGCAGGTGAGGCAGGAGAGAGAGACCTCTGCTGAGCAGTCCCTTTATTGAGAGTAGACTGGGTGTAGAGGAGCTTGGTTCTATAAAACTTTTGAGTTTCCAAAAGTTCCATGCCAATTAATTCTTTCTTCTTTGTTTTATTTTTCAGGAAATTGCAGCTTATTTAATAACTTTTGAAAAGCATGAGGAATGGCTAACAACTTCCCCTAAAACAAGGTAACATTGCTAGTATTGCAGCTGGTGAAAATGTGCATTGATTTATTTTCACTGATTACTTGACTTGCTAATCAATTCATTGACCACAAAGTGAAAACTTCAAGTCTTGCTTGATCACTTGTGACACCAAAGTCTTATTAATTGACTTAATGAGCATTTTATTGAAAGAAATCAGATTGATTAAAAATAGAACACCTGCAATCTTGACAGGTAAAACTTTTAACCTGATGGGTTAACATTTAATTGTATGCTTTCAGATGAATGGATTTAAAAGACTTGGTTGAATGAAGGGTATTTATCTTGACAATGCTCCCTACTGTCACTAACCTGCTAGCCAGATATGAAAAAATCCTTTGTGTTTTGCCTGTTTAAAATGCAGTTTTTGCAATTGTTTGTGTTTTGGCATTTCTTGTTGGGGTTAAGTGTCTGGCAGTGAGGTGGTCCCAAAAAGCCAAATTAGTAGTCATGTTTGCTGTTTGTTATGCAGTAAATGTCATGTATTCTTTTAACTGTCATAAACATTTAACTTCTTCAGCCCCATGGGAGCCAGTATGTTGAGGCCGCAGATGTTTTCCTGTTGTGGGATTCTGACATTTTTCTTATGTTAAGAGGCATGAAGTTACGCTACTTGCCACTGAAAACTGAACTTTTTTGTGGTGAGGGTGTACATTTCTGAAGTGTTTCCCGATGCACATTTTTCCATTTGTTTACATGGCAACCTCTTTCCCAGTGATTGTGGCCAGAGTTTCCCGGAGTCAGTGGAGGGTTAGCTCGGCAGTAGGGCCTGCATGTGTGCTGAAGTTCTGTGCTTTCCTCACAGTGCAGCAGATGAGAAACCTAGTTCATTTTCATACTTGGATCACAGATAGGAGGCTAAGAACACATGTGCCAGGGAAAAATGGATTAGTTCATGTTGGAGTTCAGCCATGACTTGACCCTTGATAATTCAAAGAAGACTTCTTGTGACTTTTGTGAGGTGAGGTCAGGTTAGCTGGAAGTGGGGCCTTCCTACTTCTGGCCCCAGGATTCCTGCGTGCTGGCTGCTGTGTAGTGAAAAAGCCAATGTGTAGGACATTCAAGATGGCACTTTGAAGGCAGAGAGTTTCCCTTATGTTTCCCATTGGGGATGTCCCCAGGAAACACACAATGGGGCCCTGAAGAACCAATGCAAGAAGAGCCTGGAGTAGTTTCTTGCTGGGTTTGCCATTGCATTCCTTTGTAATTAGCACAGGCAGAAATTATAGTAAGACATGAGAACTGTTATTGAGCATAACAAATAGTACAGATTAATTTGCTGAATGTTTAATTGGTCATCCCAGAAGGGAAGATTTAGATAAAGAAGGAGGGTTCAACAGCAGTTCAGGAATAGGGAAGGATGGCTTCTTTGGAAAATTAGAAAACAGCTTGTGTTAACTTTAAGATGTTCTTCCTCATCTTCTGGAGAACAAGAGGTGCCTCAAGATCCTTGTGAATTACATTATTAAACAGGCTCTTTGTTAATCAAAATGTAGTATGTGTTAGGGCTGAGAAGTAACTGAGAGGTGAGAGGATTTTATATGTTGTTATTATCCTGAACAGTGCTGGAAGTTCAACCAGACTCAACTATATATGGTTTGCCTCTCACTGTTGGTGACAGGGATTTGGATCTACAGTGTACAGGGCCTGTGTTTTATGTTGGAGGCTGTGTAAATTGTTTGTCTTTTGTGACCCACTGACTGCAGGCCACTAGGCAATGTGATGCAGTTGGAGAACACTATTTTCTGACCTGGGAGCCTGAGTTATAGAACTAATATATAAGAACTTCTCATTGAACCTTTGCCAACTCAAACTATTGAGTGATCAGAAGGCATATTAAGCAGAGTCAGGGGATATATGCAGTACTATTAAAGGCATCAGATTATAAATACATTTTGTAGAAGTGTTTTAAGATGTTACGGGTTTGTTTAGTTTGCTAAAGGCAATGCATGAAAACAGCAATTTTCCTATTAATATTACAACATCCTGCTCCTGTGTGTTTACACTTGAAAGCATAATGTCCCATGAGAAGGAAAGCTGTGATGGCTGTTCAAGGACCTTCTTAAATTAGTTGTTGAGTTCATTTTGAATTTTTTTTTAATATTGAAATTAATTGGTGCAGTTAAATGCTGAGTTCATATAAACAGGCCTTTTGGTATTAAAGAATTAATGATATTGATCCAGCACTGAACTGGAACATTCCCCATTCTTCGTTTGCTGCTGCGGGTGCTGCTAATTTCATTGTAGAAAATTAATAAAAATGAATTGCACTGCTGACATTTATAACATTTCTTAATAAAATGATACATAGCGTGAGTTGAGGGATCACTATGAAATGAATTTCTATAGTCATCTCTCATAGAGATGTTGGTATGTGAGCTTCAGGAAAAGGTTGACACTTGTCTGTGATGCTCTCTGATGGAAGATGAATATGTACAAATAGATTTTCCTCCATCCTAATTATAAGGATGTTGGGAGCAAAATATTTGTGGTTCATTAATGGGTTGTGCTATAAGAGTTTCTTTAGCTGGAGGAAACAAAGTGAGTAGTAATAAATCTGTAGGGGAAAAGAGGATGAAATGGCTATTTTGCAGTAGTATTTCTCTTTGCACTAAATGTCAAGTGTCTCTGCCCTACGGTGACCGTGGGGTGGAGGTACTGGAATACTGATCAGGCACATGTGCTTTGAGAAGACTCGGAGGATCCCACTAGGTAGTAGCTAGCAGTGTGTGCCCCCAGAGCCAGATGTTAGATGGCTGTTACAGTATGGTACTGCCCTATGACAAGTGCTCGCTGCAAGTTGGAATCCATAATAAAAGGTCAGCAATGCGATATTGTGAATCCTTTGTAAAGCTGGCTCCAGCGTTTTGTGTTCACAAGGAAACATTCAGAGGTGATGTGAATGTTTTAGGAAGGTGCAGTGCTATTCAGTCTCCATCCCCCATTTGCCACTGGTTAGCCCCACCATGTCCATGATGCTAGAATAAAGGATGTTTATCATGGAAACCTGAAACCTTGCTCCAGGGTTTGGGTTTGCTTTAACTGAACTGGGTTGAATGAGACTTGATTTGGGAGATAATTGGGTCTTAGAAATGTATGCGTTAACATACAGGAGGCAAAAAA